CGCCAAAGTTCGAGATCTGTTATCTTATACCTGATTGTTTCGTCCATAAATTATGATCTCGCCATCATCTATTTATTCATGTATCTTTTAACACTAGTCCGAAATCGGGAACCAGATCGGAATTGAGAATAAATCGAGTAGTGTTCCAGTTGGCTTGTCTATTCTCACTCGCGTGCTTGTCAGTCAATCAGGTGATAGAACAGCTTTCGTCTCTCTACTCCAAGTAGTTGGTGTCACATCGAACTCACTCATACCAGCCTCAAGGTTAAGCCAGTCATCCTATTGCGTCAAGGTCTTAATCTAGATTAGACAAGTTATTCTGCACAAAAGTGGGTAAACAGATCAAGGATGTAATATATTTTTTAAAGATTCTGTGAGTTGGTTTTTCCCAAACATTTTAGCAAAATATTTCAGATTGCAGTAAATAGCATTATCTATAATTTAATAATATAAAAGCGTAATTGTATTCAAATGGAAATTTGCTAATAAATCTCTATCATGTCAACACTTGAGTATTAAAGTAACTAGTTTAAATAAGATGTTGATTTTTTTAATCACTACCTATTTAACTAGAAAATTTAATTAGTCACGATGAATAAAATTTAATGGAGTGCTGATTGCTAGGTAGTATTCAGGTGTGTTCTTGTATTTTAGTGGTTGTTATCCGATAAGTTACCTGATCACACAACCTTGGTTCAGCGTTTTTGTAAAACGCAACCTTGACTTTCTAGATTGGTTGGAATTTTGAACTTGACCTAACAATAAACTTCACTTCAATCATCTCAACCGATGACGTCAGGTGACTGCCGTCATAACAATATCTGATAGCCATTCACCACAACGTTCTATCTAAATAAAGATTTCCGGGCTACCCATTCTTTATCAGATATTCCAATGTTAATATACGAAGTATGTTTCTTTACGGAAAACAGACGAATGGGGTCAAAGGTCTAAAGCTGAAATCTACATTTTAGATTATTAATCTACTAGACAAAAAATCTACTCTACATTTCGATTCATGCTACTAAAAGATCGAAACGACCTTATTAGACAATCCATTATATGTCTAGATCGAACTGAACAAACTATTAAATCGCTTTACCGTTGTAATTTGATTTCGCTTTCATGTGCACGCACATAGTGTTTTGTTTTCTAAATACTGATTCCTTGTAGTGACAGGCCAAGCATTATCTTCAGATATTTTCCTGTCTTTCAGATATAATTTTCTAAAGGTAACTATACGACTTTTCATCGATAAATGTGTTGAGACGGCCTCAAGAAGCAAGACGAAGCCTCCAGAGGCTCTAAATGAGCCGAAGAGATTCCACTCAGTCAGAACCTGATGGATTTTTCTAGGATATCAACGTGGCATACTACGATTGAACAATAGCATAACTTGCTTCCTTGCGAATTGACTGAATTATAATGATGTTATAGCCAACGCTAATAACTATGAATACCCTTGTTTTTCCGTACATTTTTGATTCTTACCCGACAGTCACTTCTCCTGTCTCTTCTGTCACCTGATTTGCGACTGTGGGGTTTTACACATTCGAGTGCCGTTAGTTGTGTACTGTATTTTACCATTATCAAGTAGAAAACGCGACAACGTACATTATCAGTGCAAATCTTTTTGAATTATCGTAATAAATCCCCGCAATCAGATCAAGGGGGATAGTTTCGAATTAGATCACTTAAGAACATCAACTTTATATGCTATACTTGCTATCCGACTATTGATACATCGTATCATCATAACAAAAAGACAACTACGTAGTTGTATTTTTGATATTAAGAAAATTATTGTTTTCTCCATAACCTCCAACTAAATGACAAGAAAAAAGACACCGACAACTAGTGATTACGAGGAAAAAACACAAATATGAAATACTATAATTTGTATTTACCTATAAATAGAATTAAGTGACATATTTCTGAAAAATCTCAACCAAAATTTTAAAACGACCAATAATTAATGAAAACAACTATTGAGTTTAAAGAAACTTTTCAAATGAACACTGTATACAACAACTCTTTATAAGCATTTATGTTTTCTTGTTATCAATATAAAAGACTATAATTCATCAGTATCTTCTGGGATAAGCGTATCCTCAGATGATCGCCTCGATATTACTATTTATTTACACGTTTTAGCAAATTTTATTGATGGCAATTATAAGAATTCAGTACACACATTTCGTTCTACTCAAGATTCATCAGCTGTAGATTTTTACAGCCAAACTCGAAATCATTAACTTTTGCTTCAAGTGCCCATCAAGTTATTCAATGAGTTACTGAGTCCCTATAGTCATTATTTCGTGAAACATATATGATTGTCAATACTAGAATAGAGGTACACCTAAATGACATGTGAAAAGTAAGATGATACACAAGTCATGAACTCAAATGCTAGTCACTATTTTATAAATAAATTTTTTTACAGGAATTTATACATTATTAGGATTAATTAAAGCTATCTAGTTAAATTTTCTTACGTGTTCATAAAACTAGTTAAATGTTACGATTACAACCATTGTTTATCATTGCATCTAAACATTAACTCAGTTAAATGGATTTTAAATCTTGTATATTTATTACAGCATTATTTTATGTAGATTAGATTTTAAATTGTAGATTGTATCTGTCACAGACTCCTCTCAGTTGATGAATCGTTGAAAACCAAGCTTGAAAACAGGCCAAGCGTACATCTTAGTCTGGGGTTCCATAGCAATATTCACATATGACCACTCCAGGATCTTAAATTCACACAGAGAACTTCTAATCATTAAAATCAGTAGTACGCTTAACCTCTAGATCAGTTCATGATCTCAGTTACAAACTTCGACAACCTCCACAACTCTATACTGATAATTATCATGTGCTCACCAGTGTTTACATTCAAGAGGGAGTTCTCGGAGTTCTTGTGAGAAGCAGTGACAAGTGGAGTTCAGCCGTGTCAACTGTGAAGCAGTTACGCACGGAATGCAATGAAGGATGGTCGCGAAATATTATGAATTGGTTGAACTCAAACACTGATACCTTCGGATACCAATCCGTTGGTCTAGAGGCTTAGTGTTCGTGCGTGAGACTGATGATTCTCTGTCCGATTCCTGTATATTGGGTTGTAGATGGACAGTTCTGAGTTGTACCATGCTGGAACGAAACGGTTGCGTAATGATTGTACGTATTCAATATTGGTCAAACCTACATCGGCTTATGATCTCAATACAATTCAACACTCCCCACAACCCTATACTAATAACATCAGTTTTGTTAACTGCCGTTTATTCTCATACGTTTCAACTGTTCAATGGTACCACTAATGATTTTCTGTAATTCCTCAGTCATTCAGCCACAAGCAACATAGAAGCTGATACAAAATTACATTGATCCAAGTTGTCGCATCTTATCTGAATAGTAAGATGAATATAACGGAGTAGTGGACATATTGACAGTATCAGTAATGCTAAAAATGGTCAGGACCGGATAAGATAATTACGGAAGAAAGTATACATAAAGTTAAATATAATGTAATTTTATAATTTGGTATTCAAGATAAAACAAAGCTTGAATGTTTATAAGATTTTGTGATTGATTCTGAATCATGTCACTCATCAGTTTCAACCATTGGTTATAAAAATTGACTGAACCACAACCGCAGCATAACCCCTCAACAAAAATTAGTTTCGTCAATCACAAATTAGTCTAACGAATGCATATAAAGTTTTAAAGTTAAGCGCTTGCCGCGAGACCTCAATACCCTGGGCTCAATCGATAATAGAATTTTGGCTGTGCACTTCTGAGTAGTACGATGCTAGGACGAAACAACGATCCATTACCTTTTAGTCGTCAGTGGTTGTGTACCTAAGGTCAGACATGTAATTATCGAAAATGTATATGTTTATCAACACAAAAATTGAATCAATAAAATATTGATTTTAAAGAAGGATAAAAAATAAAATTGAAAAAACAAACATAGTAATGACCGATAACTAACCATTAATTGGACGACTGAACACTTGTTAATCTAATGTACGATAACTAGTTGTACTACTTTCGTTGTGATTGTTTTTTAGTTACTTGAATAGTATAGTGACCAGTTGTTCGTTACATGACTGGTTTGTTTCAGATCCTTTTTTTTAAATAACCTAATCGCTTTTTTTGGTGCATACATATACACACAAACGCACATACAATTTATATTATTACTATTTTATTTGGGTATTTTATTGAAGTATGAAAACTATTTTTGGGAAAAACATTTCTACCGCTCTGATAGCACAGTGACTTGGTTTGATGTCAACTAGCCAGCTGAAATAATATCAAGTTTAAAATTTGAACAAAGATCACTTATTTGATGTGATGTCTTGTTCGGACACTCATAAACAAGATCCCTGTATCATTGAACTTTTATGAGACTCTGAAATTCATTGGTGTTGTGCCACTTAACCATGAACAACTATTATCTCAAACAAGAAACCTTGAGCTCCCTAGAGCGTAGAGAATTCGTTTGATCTACACAGATTCACTATCCGAGTATCCTTGCCTGAACCCGTTCAGTATTATATGTACACATAAAATATATATTCATTCTAGATATGACATTATCTGATGTAAATATTTGATTATGAAAAGATTACAAGATGTGTCAAAAAGCATGAGGACTCATACAGAAACATAGACTAGTAGTAAAACGATACGGTGTGTTTTTGTTCATGTTAGTGATTACTGACAACCACAGATACGGTTTCAATTGACAAAGTCTCGAAATTCTGGATAGAGGTGATTTCAAAAATGTTCAAAGATTCATCGGAGCATAGCATTCGTACTATTCTGTAGTTGCTAGCTATACGAATACGATTTCAATTTATAAGTTCTCAAAGAAGAGCTCAGATGATCACATGATCGAAGGTTAACTGAACTAAATGACGAACAAGAGAACAAAGAAACAAGATAATTGAAGTTGCCAAGATAACCAGCCATTAAAACAAACTTATTTCATGCTTGCAGGTCAACTGCAAAGTTTATTTCTGCATGAAATTGGAGTTCATGATGTTCTACAAACCATTACAGGAAACTATGATCCACTACGCTTAGAGAATACAGCATCGTCAGATTATCTTTTGCAAATGAGCAATCAATCAAAAAATTCTTCAAGTCTTCGTTTACGTGACTTATGGATACTTCAGTTAGGTAATATAAAAATGAAAGGTTCTGAATATTTTTTACTATATTTTGCTCCAGGAAGCTACAACGTAGATTTACTTGAAAGAAAGAAGACGAATACCTAATCATATCATCATTCATAGACAAATTTTCGGCTTGTTTTGTAACTACTAACAAGTAGTTTGTGAATTCATTTACTACTCAAGTTAATGTCTTACTCAAAGTATTGAAGAGAGAAATAGTTTCGGGATATAGGATACGTGTCCATGAATTTTAGCGCCCATCAACGCCCAATATATGTGCAACAACTAGCACTTCCCAGCTCATTTAAAGAGTGAATGTCATATATACGCCAATGATTTTCATAAAGAATTTTATTTCAAACTATAACTTCCACTTTGTTTGTTTTGTTCATCACAAAGTTTTGGACAGCTACGATGGCATGTCCATAGAAGGCATGTGTATATGGATTTGGATGATAAAAAACAAAGTCCCCAGTGAAAATCATTATCTAATATACAGCACTGACACACCAAATGAACGGTAAAATTTTCTAAAACGCTATAACATTTTTTTAAACATCGAAAAAAGGAAGTATTAAGTTTCTTGGCTGACTTACAAACTTTTTGTAATCATAGTTAAGTACAATTGAACGACGATGATTTATGATTTCTAAATAACTAAGCACATGTAGCTAAGTGTCATGTTTCTTTTTGATAAAATCATACAACACAATGGTTCAAAGTGAGTTTTGTGGAATAATAAAGTTTATATTTAGTCTATTCAAAACATTCAGAATATTAAATAATCATGCATGTAATCATTCTAATCATTAATTGTAAACATGTTAGTTTATTACTGAACCTGAACATATAGTTGGATATTTCGCCAACGAGTATCAATATTAAATAAACTTTTTACATAGTTAGACTAGTAAGCATCATTGTTAAGCAACGTAATAGGCAGGAGAAATCAAAAGTATTTACACAATACATAGTGAATGAAATTTCTTCTCACAACTCAGATCCACTTACGAATACACACAATCTGTTATCTTAATACACTTTTCGTCTCACACCACATGTCTCATTCACACTAAAGTAAATACCCACTTTGAACATTGTTAACGTGATTGGATGTACTGTTTAGTATACAATAAACCAGAGAACCATGTACTTATTTATATTCCATAATTATGACGGTTGACTATACTTCCTAGAAATAGGTTGGACCAGATTGCCATGCAAAACGTTGATTTTAAATCAAATTCATTCACTGAAACTACAAATATATTCTTCCTCCTTAATGTCCCACATCAACTCGGAGCCCATATACTGTGAAACTGTTCGATCAAATTCAGACGAAAATTCTTATCCGTAGCCTTCAGTCTTTCATATGCATCTTTCGGTGTGTTTCGAGGTTTAAACCGTCTTCTTGTTTGATCTCCATGTGTTGTGTGAACCCCGTGCTTTTGACGTACTGAAACACTTCAATCCGTCTGACAGTTGCTGCAACTTGGAGGCTACTTTCCGCTACACACTACTTACAACCATCCTTATGAGTAGCATTCACTACAATATGACAACGAATAAGTGTTCTGCTTGGAAAGAATTAGTTTACTTATAATCATATATTTTATTTGTTTCTTGAATAATGATAAAACAATGTTTATTTAGTCGTAGCTCAGTGAAGTTCACTTCTTTTTGAGATGTTTTAGATCAAAGACCAACCTGTGTAAAATATGTGGGGTTAAATGAAAAATGTAGAAATTTGAGGGCTATTCCACTTTAGATTATTACATACATTTTTGTATAAAAATTAATTTTATTCATTAACTGCTGATATATGTTTTGCTGTCCATAAATTATAGTTTATTAATCATGCACCCATTTTTTTCATCACAAATAATCTAATTATGTACTGATTGTGACTTCGCATTTATGGTACATTATGGTCTTTTTATTGATGTATATTATTATGTACTTTTACGTTATAAAATACAACGTAAGTCAACTGGCTTTTCTTTTATTCTGATTAAACAGTCTGGAAGGCAGTTACGATTTTAATGAGCTAATTGACATTAGCACATTTGGTAAGTATATTGGTTAAATGAAGGCCATTAGGATTATTTAGGTAAATGGATTCATCATCAGGAAATTCGACAATTAAGTGATCCTATTAAGCAGGGATATACAAGTTGAAATATTAGTGAAAATATGTCGAAAGATGTACTGTTGAAGCTAACTGCAACTTTCATAAACTAATGGACAGCAACCACGAGCTCTTTCTAACCTAATATTCAATCAGATGATGAAGATGGGAAGCAGATCAGTTCAGTTTTTTACTTCATGCAATTATGACTCAATACTTGTACAATGATATATCTGAAATATCTCAGATCACGGCTACACAGTTAGAAAATTACGTTTGCATAACCTAGTCGTAAGTAGTGTGAAAGAGTAGTAACTAATGATAAATCTGACATTTGATAATAATTTAAGGACTAAATGAAAGCTTAAAAATAGGGGTCTAAGTGTCTACTAGTTATACAATAAAATATAAATAATAAACCTTCGTATGATAGCCTCGAAAGTTATACTAATCACCCGATTATATCATTAACAGTATTGGTTTTCTATTAATTAATATAAGAGAATAAAGCTTTTATATGACACGTATCACTATTCAAGGTTACCGTTCGATTCAGGAAATTGTGTTTAGTCAAAAATTAGAAGAAATAATTATCTATCTAATTGTTTAATCACTAAACAGATAGATAAACAACAACAAAAATCATTGATGAACAATTAAATGGCGTGAAATAAATATGTATATATGATTTTTGTTTTAATGAATGGTAGAAAGATAATTCTGTCTTCTTGATATTCATAATTCTGTTTTATTGAAGGACAATTTACTTTGTATTGTGTTAGTTTTCTCTTTCATGATATATAATTTGATCATTTTATACACTTGTACTAGTTTCGGTCATGACTGAGATCTACTTTAGACTAATTTACTCATTTTTTTGTAATTCAATAAAATTGGTTTCTAAATAATTTGCCTAATGTCACTGTAACGCTGAGAAATCTGATGATCATGGGTTCAATCTCCTATGAGAGATAGATAAATAGAGAGAATGAATAGATGCTTAGCTAGTACGTATTAACTGGTTAGTACTCTCTTTGAATTTCAACAATTTATAGGTTAATATTAGTCCATTATATAGAAAAACAGTGAATTAATCTCCTCAAACCACATGACCAAACATTTTGACTTATTACAATTAGACTGTTTATCATATCTTCTTCAAGTAACATATGTAAGTTTTATAATTATACTAACTGATACTAATTTACTTCATACACAAAGTATCAACTTTGATGCTATACATTGTTATTTGCAAGTTTATTCCATAACTAATTACGTCATTTTAGAACGAATTGTTTGTTATTTTCGATTCATGTTATTTTAATGCTTATCCCTACATTAGGGTTGAACTATTTCATAACTGTTTCAATAAAGAACTATTAAATGAGTTTTATGAGGATTTATTAATGAATTTCTTATTAAAACGAAATAATTATTCATTACTCCCTGGTTTCAATGGTACACTAATTGATATCAGTTTATCATAAGTTCAACCTGAAAAGGACAATTAAATTATATTAGTATTATCCTCATGGGTAAACTAATATAGATTTTCTCAATCTATATACAATGGAAATGTGAACAAAAGTTCTTATTGAAAGTATAATTCGTAATTAGTAATTAAATTATACACCAACTTAACTGATAAATGAACAATATCACATGTAAAATATATTCATTTATAATTAAACGAATAGTTGATAATTTATATCTTATATACAATACTGAATTAATATAAATGACATGATAGTATATGCAAGAATAGTTTATTTTTAGGAATGTAGACAAGTTATCTGATAAGGTACATTTATATATGTGCATGTAAACATAATCCACTATGGTTGATTGTGATCTAAATTCTTAATAATTTTATTATAATAACAAAAGATGGATAGACTGAACAACTTGAAACATTAGAGTATTTTACATTATTATTAGTTATATGTCGACATTATTATTGTGAAACCACAAACTTTATTTCATTTTTTTCAGGAAGTTAGAATATAAATAGATCAGTCTTTTCAGAATACAAATAGTCTTAAGATAGTGTATTCATATGGAGCTCAATAAAGTTGCTCTATGGTGCTTAAAACGGAATTCGGAATTTACCACTGTTGACTGTGGATAGATTTGCTTTGGTGATCCTTTTCTCAATTTTTACTTTGTTATAAATGGCAAGGTGCTATCTGTTTGTTTTGGTGATTTTCTGTGGACTACAAACAGAATAAAACATCTGCTTAAGGGATTTGCGATAAAGTTTGAAAATTCGTTTAATAATCTACGGTGCATTTCATCGGTCCCAGAGAGTTACCTATTTCAAGTTAATTTAATAGATTAAAGACATTGAGTTCTTTAACGGTCACAACGTCCAAAGTGTGAGTAGCACAGATTTATATGAACCAGAGGAAGGATGTCTCCACGGTCCAAACATTGTTAATTTAGTTAGGAAGTACTTAAGCTCTATCTTAGTCAGTTGCTACTGCAAATTTAGTACTACTGATTCTGCATAATACTATAATGTTACCTCTCCTCTTCGTCCTTTGGTATATGCACGAAAGTTTGCGTTTTGGGTTTTCTACAGATTCCATAATAGCTTTTTTACGAACAACCTTGACCTGTGTAGGGCAGAGGCACAAATTTTTTGGTCTCCCAAACATTGAGATTTTGCCTCATTAGCACCCAGTACCCTAAATATCTCCTACGTTCTTTTCTTTTTATGAAGAGTACGAACCACATTACTAAAAAATAGTGGAAAGTTTCTGGTATTCCTTTGGTATGGTCCAAGGAAAATGAGACGCAGTAACTTTTATGTGCAAGTCCCTTTAAAACCGCCCAAGCTGTTTCTATAAGGGATTTTGATCCTATCATATAGTCTATTGAGGACGCTAAGTGTACAGTTTCTTATGTATTCCTTCTCAAACATTTGGTTTATTTTTGAGTTGTTACGTCTTTGTTAACAACGATATAATGATTC